CCTCCTCTCTTTTCCCTGCCCCTCTTCCCCCACCCCCCATCTGTTCTAGGCTCTAATCCTTTCTATTCTATCCCAGGTGATCTCATCCACTTCTGTGGCTTCGATTACTATCACATGACAGTGACTCCAAACCGCCAGTCCAGACCACGTTTTTGAGCTCTAAACTTATGTATACAATCCTTCTCTGGACATTTCCATGTGCTGACAGGCACATCAACCTCAACGTGTCCACATACAAGTCCATGGCTTTCCCTTCGCGCCAACAGTCTCCCTTCCTCCACCTCATCAAACTGCACTAAGAATGGAAAACAACCTGTTGCTCAGGCCACAACCTGAGGGTCATTACTGGACCATTTTATCCTTTACCCCTGCCATCCTAACACCACTAAGTCCAAGTGATTCTGCCTCCAACGTAGTTTTTGGAACTATTCGCTTCTTCTCACCGCCACTGCTAACGACCTGGCCGGAATAACCATCACCTTTGGCCTGGACAAACACAACAGTCTCCTTGCTAGTCTCCCAGCTTCCGCCCCCACCCCTCTAAAATCCACTTCCCACCCAGCACCCAGAAAAAGCTTGCTGAAACATATCTGTTCATAGCATTCTTCTGCTTTAACCCTTCCAAAAGATCCCCCTGCCCTTAGAATCAAAATCAAACACCACGTTGTAACCTGCAAAATGAGGCCCTGTGATCCACCAACCGCCCCAATTCCCATCCCTTCTCCTCCTGTTTATACTCCAGCCACCCGAGCTTCCTTGGGCTCCTCCAAAATGCTGATGGAATTCCTGCCGAGCGCTTGCACTGGCTGCCATCACTCCCTCCGCATCTTTGCAGGCCTGGCTCCTCCGTGTCATCCAGGTCCCAGCTCAAAAGCTCATGTCCCCTCAGAGAGACTTAATCTAAGGGAACCTCTCCCAACGCCCTGTCATCTGACTCTATTTTCATCATAACGCATATCAATCACTATCTGAAATTATATGGATAATTTGTTTATGTGTCTCCATCCACCAACCTATAAACTCCTTGAATGCAGAGAGCTTGTCTGTTTTTTTCACTTTGTGTCCTCAGTGACAACAATGCCTGGCACTAACAGGTGCTCCGTAAAAGGGGTCAAATGAAAACGACACTCAGTAAATCCCCCACTGTCCGGAGGCAGGCCGGCACAGAAAAATGGAGGGCTGGATTTAGAAGATCCAGATTTAGGGGCCGGCCCTGTGGCCGAGTGGTTAAGTTCGCACGCTCCGCTCTGGCAGCCCAGGGTTTCGCCGGTTCGGATCCTGGGCGCAGACATGGCACCGCTCATCAGGCCATGTTGAGGCGGTGTCCCACATGCCACAACTAGAAGGACCCACAACTAAAATATACAACTATGTATTGGGGGGCTTTGGGGAGAAAAAGGGAAAAAAAATCTTAAGAAAAAAAAATCTTTAGGAGATCCAGATTTAAAGATTGTCTGTCTTTAAAGCTATCCCATTCTCAGTTTCCTCAGCTGAAATCTGTGGGTAACAACAGCATCTACTGTACACAGCTGCTGTAAGGATTAAATGAGACAAAAGACCCAAACACTTGGCATGACTGGCATGCAACAAGAGTTTAATAAATAAGACCTAGCTGGTATATATCTATGTGAATTATACACACACACACGCTCACACACATAACTTGGGTGTTCATCTTCACTAGACTTAATGGTTCTACTGTCCTGCCTTTGAGACCTCAACTTGTGTGTTCTTACCAATATCATATCTCAAGAGCACAATCTGAGTCTCTAGCATTCTCTGCCCAGTTCCTAGCACAGCCCAGCATAGTCATGACCTTTATAAACCTCTTTAAGTGATTTATCTGAAAATATAAACATTCCCCTTGAGCATAATACAGTAGTTTCAAGTGGCCTCCATTTCATCTACTTCCTCAGAGGCCTGTGAACAGCAAATACACACACATCTGTACAAATATTGTGCCTGTTGAAAGGCCTGGGATGGAATCACCTTTGCACTCATCGTAAAAGCCCACGAGCTCAGGTTAAAGACGTCACTTCCGTTATGGCAATAAAGACGTCACTTTCGTTATGGCAAAATCCGCCCCCTTCACAACACATAATGGCTGGAACAACTCGATCTTTATCATTTATTATTTTTATTTGGACAACATATATACATATGTACAAAATACCCACTGTCAGAATCCTCTTTTATAATTTCATTTGATTTACAAAAACGGGACAGCAAAATAACTTAGGTCACTAATACTGTACAAAAATAAAACTGATTAAACAGTTGTAAAGATCAGTATCTTACAGTGTTACAGATCATTCATCTGTGGCGAAAGAACGTCTCAATCTGTCCAGAGTGATGAGTACTGAGTTAGGTCTACCTGCAAACTGACAGCTAATCAGTGTCTGTAATTATAACTACCAAATATAATTCTCAAAAGAAGCATGATGTAGAGCCAGACCGTAAAGCCAGGGCATCATTCCACAGTGGTGAAGGGCTTTCTTCTTCCCTAACCAAGGAGAGGAGTTCTCTTAACTCTAAAATGATTAAATTTTCCAGAATATGACAACTACTTACAGTATTAGATAAAACAACTTTTCTTTCTTTTTAAACACCTGCGACAGTCTTTCAAAAAATTCAGTTTGGTTAAAAAAGTAAACAAAAATTACTATCCTGCATTTGGATTTTTACACGTTAAATCCATGGTCTTTTTAATATAAAAAGTAATTGTTTCATAGTTTTAGTGTTCAACGAACTCTAGTAGTCCTATTTGAACCATATCTTGAGATAGTAAACCTAATTCGAATGCTGGTTCCTGTTCCGTGACATTTGAAAACAGGATTTATCACAAAGAATAAAAAGCCTTGAGTTTATACGTTACGTTACTATAACATATAAGAGAATATCAAATGTGTGTTCTTCAACGACTTGAAAAGGCAAGTAGCAACTTTTTTTGGGAAGTAAATTGTGCATTTTTTTTTAAAACAAGTTGCTGCATTGACATCCGTCTAAGTGCTGGACAAGAGCCACACATAGATTTACTCCTGAAACAATAAGGATTGTCTTTCACTGACTTTGCTTGGTTTTCCTTCATTTCATTCTGTGAGGGGAAGATGAGTTTGTACAAGTTTGCGGGTTGCCAGGCAACCCCAAACTCCTCACTCACTTTAGGCAGCGCGCAGAGGGTCACAAGTGGAACCATTCCATGAGTTCAGTCGGAAATAGGCGGCCTCACCTATATCCTATGGAAGAACAGATGTCCTTAAAACTTATTTTGGACACAAATTAAAATTTGGTTTGAAATAAGCGTTTCAAAAATCTGAAACAGAGGTAGAAAGTGTTCTTTGTTTTTTCCTGACATGTTTTCCCGCGAGAAAACACTTTCCTTTGTATCCCACGGCCTGCTCCCAGAGTCCCTAATGTTAAAAGCAGTTCTCTTTATAGAACTACTAATACACCTACGTTGATTAAACAAACGGAAAAAAAAACACCGTGCTAGTGATGGCTATAGTCTTGGAAGTCGGAGTTGGCCGTGACCCGTGCCTGCTGCAGGAGCCCACATGGCTCTGCCCTGGAGCCAGCCTGTGTCAGGTGGAACAACGAATTCACTAAGTGGGTGCCCTCCGTTCACACAACACATCTTATAGCACATGTATAAACTAGAGTGCACCATAGCTCCCTGTGTTAAATAGCAGATAAAATTGTCAGAAAGTGTTATTTCTGAAGAAAAAAAAAATGTAAACATTTCCCCCACGATCACTGCTGACTCCCCTTTTTTTGAGGTTTCTTCTGAACTATGAAAACTCAGTTCCTTTTTCTGACCATGTCAAGGCCAAAATTAAGTTCTCAGGTACATGGCGTATTATGGATGTAGTGGTTTCGGCCATTGTAGACACCTGGATACAAGAGAGAGAGTGGTGAGGCTTCGGCTGTACAAGATACAGTGATGTGCTTTCCTTTGTATGCATTCCGTGTGCCTTCGTGCTCCAAAAGGGACGATTTTCCAGAGTCTCCTCTGAAATTATCGTGGTATTTTCCCTTGGCACTCATTACTCCTAGGGACATATTTTTCTTTTCGTATTTCGGCTCGCTTTTCCTTTTACATCACTCTTGCACCTGTTAGTGGGAGTTCTGTAGGAACACAGGAAGGAGACCAACCAACCTTTTCCCCAAAAAATAGACATTTCCAGAGCTAGTCACAGTTATGCACCCATTCAAAAAAACCCAACAGAGTCAACGCCCTCTCTCTTCGTGGCATTATGGTACAATAGATGATGCTAACTAAAAGGATCGGAAAATTTGGAAAAGTTAATAGAGTTAAAATTCTGTCTGTTCTTTTGAAACTAAAAAAATATATACTATCCTCCTCCTCCTTCAGCATCTGTCATATATATTCTGCCCTCGCATCTCTGCCGTGATTTCACAGGGAAACGCATATACGGTAAACTAAGCAGATTATAACGTGGTTCCACATAGAATGTCTGTTTCTATCCTTAAAGCATGTATTTACCTTACTCATCCTCTGCATTAGAAAGTAGAAGTGCAGCTTATGTTCAAAAAGGACAATTCATACAAAGCAAGGTTTAAAAGTTCTGTACTTACTGTAACCTTTCAAAGGTTTGTCTTGATTAGTATAAATTCAGACTGCTTACCCATTGACTCTAAGTGACTTTTTTGTTCTCAAGTCTTTAGATGACAGATCATGCTGGAGTAAATGTGCTCTTGCTTGCATAAAGACAGCTGTGCTATGGCGTTTTTTAATCTCAAAAGTTAACGTGATTCAAGAGAGTGGTTTTGCTAAAGAAACGGAAGCACACTCGTCATTACATTAAAAGGTAAGAAAAACAATTCTGAGAGACAGCAAGCAGAAAGGGCCCAGAATCACTGTGTGAGGCCACAGGTCAACGCACCCAGTCAGACATATGTACACCAGTGTTGAATCTGGAAAATTCTACCCGAGTCTTGGCCTTACCCCCCCCCCCCCCCCCCCCCCCCCCCCCCCCCACCCTCCCCCAAAAAAGTAAAGGAGGAAAAAAAAAAGAAGCATTTGCCTTCCTTCCAACAGTCAGAGACGGTTCAGAGTTGCCTCTGCAAGGGGACCAAGTGTTGACCGATCCTAGGCTACCATGTGCTTTTGAAAAACAATGCAGGGAGAGGAAAATTAGAATATTGACCAAAGAACAGTGGCTTCCTGTGCTGGCAGGGGGCCTCTTCTGGGCGTCGTTTCCGTGTCTGTCTGTTGGCTGGGAGTAGTTTTGTCTGTGGGGGTCCATCCCTCCCTGGCCCCGGCGGGTAGCACCTCACAAAGGGTGGGCCAGCGCCTTTTTTGACCGCTTGATCATGCTGGGGTGGAACTCGGTGTGGCGCCGGGCGTGCTTGGTGAGGTGGTCGCTGCGCATGAAGCGCTTCTCGCAGAGCGGACAGCGGAACTGCTTCTCCCCGGTGTGGGTCCGGTAGTGGCGGGTCAGCTCGTCCGAGCGCGAGAACTTTTTAAGGCAGTCTGGCCACGTGCAGGGGAAGGGCCGCTCACCTGGCAGGAGGGAATCAGACAGGACACGGTTTAAAGAACACGGAACCCAAACTCTGAACGCTGCTCATGGTCACCCATCTCTATGCCTCAAGGGATAAATCCTTTGCAGATGAGTTTATGGGCTGAATTATTCCCGTCGTCCACCCCACCCCCCGCCCCCATATATATGCTGAAGTCCTAACCCCTAGTACCTCAGAGTGTGACTGGATTTGGCCATGGGGCCTCTAAAGAGGTAATTAAGGTTAAACGAGGTCATTAGGCTGGGCCCTCCTCCAATGACTGGTGTCCTTATAAGGAGAGGAGATGAGGACCCAGAGGCACAGAGGAAAGGTCATGTGAGGTTGCTGGGAGAAGATGGCCACCTACAAGCCAAGGAGAGAGGCCTCAGAAGAAACCAACTGCACCAAGACTTAATCTTGGACTCCTGGCCTCCAGAACCTTGAGAAATGTACTTGTGTTGTTTGAGACGCCCAGAGTGTGGTACTTTGTCATGGTAGCCCTGGCAGACGAATATGATGAGGAAATTGCTGAGAATTATCTTCTCTAAGCAAACGAGCTTGCTATTTTGTACCCAATTGGATCCTCAAGAGTCTTGGAAATTATTTTTTCTGGTTTTATTCTATGCAGTTGCTGGCTTCCTGAGTTCTCTCAGAGGAATCCAAAAACTTAGGCCTTTGCTAAATTTCCTGGCATCTGATCAACTTCCCACCTGGAGCTGGCACCTCCCTCGAGCTCCTGAGTGCTGGGGCCGCCGGGCCTGTGTCTCAGCAAGTCTGGTGACAGGAGGCCTCCTATCTGACAAGAAAGCCTGCCTGTTCTTGAAACCAGCCTTCCTGCAAAGGCCATATTTTAAGTCATGTTGTCTTAATACTAAAAATAAGTTTGTTCCCTCTGCCACATAATAGTCCTTTAAACATCTCTAATCTTCTCTCCTCCAGATGAAACAATCCCAATTTCTTCCATATCTCTCATGAAAGAAGAATTGACATTATTCTAAAATAATAACACAGGTGCAGGCACAGAGCTAAGGGCTTTCCAGACATCATCTCATTGAATTCTCACAGGATACCCCACAAAGTGGCCCATTTTACTGATGAGGAAACAGAGGCTGGGAGGGCCAGAGTACTTGCTCAGAGTCACACAACTAGAAAGGAGAGCCATGAACTGACACCATATACTGGACTCCAGGGCCCATGTTCTTGGCCACTCAGCTGTCCTGCCTCTCATGGGTCATCAGGACTTGACAGTGTTTCCACATCCCTCCCCACTCCGATTGCTTTCCTTGAATTGATGTTATTGTCTCCGTGTCCCACTTAAAATGCAGCTGGCCTCACCCTCCAGATGTGATCAGGCCAGCATCAGGGGCCTCCTGACCCCTGGAATGGCAGGGGAGGGCCTGTGTCCATTTTGGGGGTGGGGAAACACACATAAGTAGAAAGGCAGAAGGAGCTGGTTACGATGAGAGTCTTGCTTGTCCCTTTTGTGAGTGACTGCCACCTCCTGGCTCTGAGCGCCTGCCTGCCTACTCCTGACACCTTTCCAAGCACAGCCAAAAGCAGCTGCTTCATAGACTCAGGGCACACAGACTCCTGGTTTCCACAGAACCCTCCAGACAGTCCTCTGGTAGCCGTGAGGAGTGAACACTTTCTCACTCCTGTCCCCACCTTCCTGGAACGCAGAGAGAGGCTCAATAGCGTGGAGCTGTCCAGCGTGGGGCATCTGAGTCATCCAAAAATTATCCATTCTCTCCCCCAGCTGGTTCTCACCTGTGCCAGAGATGTAGAAATAATAACAGCAAAACCAGACCTCGACCACCTTCGTGACAATCAATACAGGCTAAGGTTTTATTGCTGTTCTCTAAGCAGAGCAGTGATCGTCCAGCCCACTTGTTCTTGTGGGAAACCCAAGGTGGGCAAAACAAATCTGCACAGGCAAATTTGCTACACATGGGTCTAGGTACAAACCTTCACCGAGCTCTGGGCTGAAAAGCCACAGCAGCAAAGGGCAATAGCAAACCAATGGATGCGAGCCCTCCCCGAGGGGATGGGCGCTAGGGCTAATGAGGCATGAGGATGCTCAGTCTCCAGTAGGGCCAAAAAGGAAGAAAGAGAGCCTCACACTGAAGCCTCTGAAAAACTCAATGACACAGAGTTGAAAGCTACATGTTTGCAACTTCTGTGGGATCAAACAGCATTTTTACCCAGTTCAGCAGAATGCTGAGCAAAAGAAGAAATGCAGGTTGTCACCACCCAACAAGGTCTCAACCTCCCGGGGCAAGGACAACGTCATGTCTGACTTTTGTGTGCAAGCATTTAGTAAATGCCTAAACTCTGTGTGTGTGTCTGCTGAGTCTGTTAATCCTCCAGGTCGCTCACATGACCAAAGTCTGCTCAGAAGTTCCCAGAACACTGGAGAAGATTTCTGGGCTTTCCAGAATTAGACTGCAGTGAAGTCCTCTGTAACCCCAATGAAGTGTCTATGGGGACAATCTTCTTTTAAACATGTTATGTTAAAATATAGAAGGGTCAGAATTCATACAGTGAAATGTAAAAAGCAAACCAAAAGACCGTCTCTGCTGTCTTTACAGGAGCCCTCTCTCCACTGCCCTATGATCTGGTGGTAAGGAAAGCAATGAAAAGGAAAAGCTCAGTGTTCTCTCAATGCTTGTTAGGACAAAAACTGACAGAGGTGGTTTTCTTGGAGGAGTGGTAATGTGGTTTAGCTTACTCACTGGCACATGTTTCTTTCAAGTGAGTCATGAGATGAGGTTACTTTATTTGAATAGATCTGTGTCCATCGTGGGGAAAACGCATCAGAAGACCACTCTGCTGTGTGCTAGGACTGGGGAAGAAATAAAATGGCTTAATGGAAGTGATAGTGGAAAACTGTCAAGAAGCCTGAATCAGCTGTATGTACAGAAGAACTCTTAAGTATTTATGCTTACGATTTACATATATATCAAGTGTAATCAGGGTGCATTCCCACTGAATTCACTTTCAATCTGGCTTATGGCTACCTTCTCTTCTCGGCCCCCCATAGTTGCCATCCTGTGATTGTTCTCATTGCTTCTAATGCGGATGCTGTCACTGACCTAGCATCCTTATCCCGGGGTGTTTCAGAGAGAAGAGAGGGCCACCCACAGAGCCCAGAGCAAATCAGAGCCAACGGCAGCCTTTGTTAGACTCATATAACTTGTATAATTCAAGCTTACAGTTTCCAAGCATTTAAAAAAAGATCTACTTGGAAGTGAATTGCTAGCGTAAAAGCTCCAGAATCATTTTATTCTTCTTGGATCCCTTGGAAAAGCATTAGGAGCTTTTAGTCAATGATCTAAATTAGGGGTTAGCAAACTATAGCCTACAGGCCAAATCTGACCTGCCGTCCATTTTTGTAAAGTGCATGAGCTAAGAATGGTATAAACACCATGCTCGTATTTGGTTTTTACCAAATGGTTGGAAAAAAAACAAAAGCAGAAGAATATTTTGTGACAGAAGAAAATTATATGAAATTCAAATTTTATGTCCACGTACAAAGTTTTACTGGAACAGAGCCATGCTCACTCGTTTATGTATCATCTGATGGCTGCTTCTTCACTACAACAGTGTCGAGTAGTTACGACAGAGATCGTACGGCCCACAAAGCCTAAAATATTTACCATCTGGTCCTTTGTGGAAAGTTGGCCGACCCCTGATCTCAATGTGAAGATGTGAACTTCTACGTGGTGTACACCACAGTGTGTAAATCCAGATGTCTTCAGGAGCCAGACATGTGATACAAACGGGTGAAATGCCAGGTGTATTAGCTCATGGGTTGAGGTAGAAATCATGGCCAAGTGGAGAGGCTTTCCCACTTCAAGACATTCAAATTCCACACTTTATAAAAAAAACACTGTACCAGCCAAGCAGTATGTGTGCAGGGGGACCTAGATTCTTCTTGGGGACTTACAATTTGCAGCCCTTTGAAATCATCCACCTCTTTAACTCAGCGGTGAGTTCGCATACAACCTGTTATGGGATACGTTTCGGCATGTTGGTTAACGATAGACACATAGTACCAACTAGAGAATGATACATACTTTGCCTCTAAGAAAGCATGGAATGGGGAAATCGTATGTAGAGAAGGAACAGAATTTAAGGCTGAGTGGGCCCACAGATGTTCTGCCGAGGGAAAGAGAGGCCTTAGAGAGGCTGTGGCTCACCCTTCATCCTGCAGCCAGGGGGACATCAGCAGGCGCTTTCTATCAGCTCAGGGCTAAGGCCCAAAAAAAGAATGGTTATGTGCAGACTGAACAAATTCATGTGGCAAAGCAACTATCAATGAAAGAATATTTAAACTTGTCTTTAGTATTAATGAGAGAGTTATCATCCTCCTGCGGAGAAAAAAAAAAAGAACAGACATGTACTAGTGCTTTATTTCTGGCCTTCGCAGGAAAACACACCCAGAGGCAGTGACACAATAAACTCCGCTTTACTGGAGCAGAGCTGTTAACAGCACAAGTTTCTCCGTGTTCTCATTATTTATAAACCACTCCCCTCCCCTTCCAGCAACAAGCTAAGCACCTCTTGCTGACAGAGACTCAGCTCCGAGAATAAAATAAACTTGATCAAAATGGCCACTGAACACGGCACCAAAAGTGCACAGGCTTTCTCTGTGGAGACAGGTCAGGCCTGCAGAAGTCTCCTGGGCCTCCAGCAGGTTCAAAAGAAGTGGAGTGGGGCCTGCAGGCTGTGCCCCTGCTTACTTAGCACAAACGACGGCTCCCTGTTTATCAGAAGGAGCCTCCACGCCACCTGGGGGTTAGTTGACGATGCCAAGAGAAGCTTATTCTTCTCGGCAAGGTCTTCAAACAAACGGTGGTGAGTTCTCCATAGAGAGGGAAAAAGAGGACGAGCTCCGGGCAAGTGTGGGGCTTGCTAACTGGATAGACCCCAGCCTGTCCAGGCTCCCCTGAACTCAGACAGGCCGCCACTGAGGTCCTGCCTGGGGTGAGGCAGCTCTGT